CCCCCCCCCCCCCCCCCTAACTGTTCTAGTTAGCATTTCCAGCCATTCCAGGATGCGTTTCACTTAAAACTCATCACGCACTCGTGAAATTATTTCATCCTTATTATCAAATATCAAAAATAAGGAAAATTAATACTCGTAAGCGTTGCGAGCGTTAAGTGGAACGCAGAGTCTGCTCTCGGCGTGCAAAGCCGCAGCGCGCGCAGAAATCAATGCCGTAAATGTCAAAGCATGCGCTCAAGCCGCTCAAGGGTCTTACCTCTTGAGCGGTTCTACTCCAAAAAAAGAGCTTGCCATACGCAGTGCAAGAAAATAAATCATAGTGATTGAATCATTTCATCGGACAGGAAGCGAGCACTCGCCCGTTTGTGTACCATGGATTAAAAGAACTTGTCGGAACATCAAGTCGCCGTTCTCTTCGAACTCTTCGCCAATTCATCTTTTCCAGCAATATGGACGAAAACTTGAGTCGGGGATACGTCCAGCTGGGCAAAGCCAGAGGCATGAATGAGTTCAAATTCTCCAATGGATTCTCGCATCTCTCACCACCAGTTGACAAATACAACTTCATTTACATGGCTCTGATCCTCGGCGGTATAGGTTTTCTTCTGCCTTACAACAGGTCGTACATTAAACAGCATATATTATGCCTTATTATATATATAGCTTTGTGTAGCTTTGCCAAATCGTATATCTACTGATTATATATATATATATATAATTGAGCGAATAATCTTTAAAGTCGTCATTATATAATTATAATAGTAGACTTTTTTTTCCCACGACAACTTTGGCTGCTCGAAGATCGAGCATCAGCTCTTTGCAAATGGCGAACAACTCTAGTATTTCGATCAACATACAATAGTGTGAAAAAGTTTCCGACCAGTGACATTTTGTATTCTAATTTATTAAAAAAAAGCCTGATAAAATTTTCATCATTATCAGGTATTAGTGTAAAATTTCGTTATCTAAATCTACTAACATCTGATAAAATTTTATCTGAATTAAAATTTGATCAGGCTTTTTTTATAAGTTAAAATACAAAATATCATTGGCCGAAAACTTTTACGTGCCACTGTATATTTAATTCGTATAATTTCTTTTTGAAAAATAAATCAACTTTGCAAAAGTTTTAAGCGTTGCATTTGCAGTTAAAAATCTTGCGATTTATAGATACATATATCAACAATTGTGCCATTGTTTGTTATAGCTTCATTATAGCAGTGGATTATTTTCAAGCCAGATATCCGGGAACTACTGTAATTTTTGACATGTCCGTTGTTTACATCATTATGGCTTTCTTCGCAGTTTTCGCCAACAATATTCTAGTTGAGACTTTGTCGCTGAATACGCGAATTACATTTGGTAAGATTGTCGTTATAAGTTAATCAAGTAAAAAAAAAAAACAATTGAGGTAAATGTATAATAAATTCATGATACATATTAATGATAAATTCACGATAATTATATAATTTAACTTTTAATGCTCAGGATATTTAGTGTCCTTCGTTACTTTGAACTTTGTGGTGATCTGCGAAATTTGGTGGGAACTTTTTGGCGTCGTAACTTCCTATACTATTAATTTAATTGCTGTCGCCATAGTGTCGCTCGGTTGTACAGGTAGAGTTAAATAAGATTATTAACAATTCAAAATTGATATATTAAATAATGGAAAAATTATGTTACAAGTGTTTATTTATTTATTATATCTGGTTAATTACATTAAATAACATAATTTATTTAATATGTGAAATATTGCTTAAATACACATATATTTAAAAAAATACTAATTATGATTCAATACAGATTATCTTTTGCTTTAATTATTTAAATAAAAAAATCTTTAAAATATTTCTGAAATGTTTGCCATTTTTATGCCTGTGATAATGTATAGTTATTGTAACTGCATCTAGAATTGCACTAAATATTTTTTATTATTGTGGCTTTTCGGTTATAAGTATTTGGTATATATTACAAATTTACAGATTACATCATCTAAATACGAGAAACATCATTTTCGGTCAAAGTTAAATGTTAAATTAATACGTATATATATATATGTATTGTTTTAATTAAGTTAATCTCAAATGACAACCCCGAGTTCAATCTCCAACCGAGGTAATATTTTTCGTAATAAGTTCTTTACAGATTTTAAAATGTTCCTAATTAAATTTGGGGGAATTATTAATATTTCGGAATATTGATTGTGTTAAAAGTCCGAAAATAACGGCGCGTATTCATATTTCTCTGAGGACTGAAATTAATTTATTTTTATTAAAAGAATACATATATATGGGTCATGTATATGTGTTAGTTTTACATCTAATTTTGACAAAAAGTAGCGCTTTTCATATCTATGTGATGTACTACATAAAAGGGTCTTGTTTTCAATTTTATTGTTTACAAATTACATTTCATTAATTTAAAACTTGTAATATTTTTCCAAAATATCTCTATTTTACAGTTAATTACAAATTGTTAATGTACTGCAAAAATTTGTTTCTACAGTATTTTGTATGATATTACAGTTCAGCAATCAAGTTTTTACGGGTATACATCAATGCTTCCTAGTCGATATACACAAGCTGTGATGACTGGAGAAAGTAAGTACCGTTTTCTTTCGAGTGATTGAAATTTGTCTATAGTAAATTATTATTAGTAAATTATTTTAGCAGAATTGTTACATAACTTTTTAAATGTCGAAATTATTGTTAGGAATTATGAAAATATAAGATTGTGTCTTGCCAGTCTTCGATATATTACGAATAACGAGTAACCGTTCTTCTTTTCTAATTACTATAAAAGATATTATATAATATAAGAAAAAGAGAAATATCTTGCTACACGCTTTCAGGTTTCGCTGGTGTTTGGGTGTCAATCAATCGAATAATAACAAAGTCTCTATTCAATGATGAACGTGGCAATACAACTGTGTTTTTTATTTTATCAAATATGACGATTTTGTTATGCTTTGTGCTACATCAAATAGTACGAAAAACCGATTTTGTGCAATTTTACATAACGCTATGTCAGGAAAGAAATCGAATTACTTTAGAACCAACGGAGGATGCCGGTCTGGTACGTAATCATGTTGCATCCCTTATATTTAAATTCTATTGAAAAATTCAGGAGCAATAATTCAAAAATTATGATATATATTATATTGAGAGAAATACAACTTAAATTATCTTCCGATTCATTATTTAATTTTACTCAAAATTACTTAAATTGTTTGAAATTGATTTTTGATGCTTAACAATGACTTAATAATTAATACATGCTTTTATTGTTATAATTAGATGGATCCGTTAGATCAAGTTGGCGACCCCTCAAAAGGCCAGTATGGAGTATTGAAGATTCAAACGAGTCCATTGGGAAAAGAATCTGCAACTGAAAATGCTGATGGTAGATATTATTAACTCATTTTCAAGTATACTTGTAGGAATGATAGGAATGAATATCGAATTTCTTTGAAATATTATTAGTTTGAAAAATAAGCATGTTGTAATTGCGATACTGTATAAACATTTTGATTGTTACAGCAGGCAGACAATATTCTGCATTCTCGTTCAGCAATCCGGTGTATGAGCCTAGTGCTCCTTCGGGTAATCCACCTGGTAGCGCTGGACCAACTTACAAAGTTGAAGATGTCGTGGTTATGAGAGGATCTTATGGAACACAAAGCACGAGTACACCATTGTCTGGCATAAAAAGTAATAATGCTGTTTTCACTTATCGTTAAAACAATTGAAATAAGAAAATTGAGAGATT